TACTAGTAGTAGTACTAGTAGTAATAATAGTAGTAATAATAGTAATGATCATAATAATAATAATTACAAAATTACAAAATAATAATAAATTATTATTATCATCATCATTATGACCGCTCCTTTCTTTCACACCTCACCATTGGTTGCGAACTTGGCCAATACAAACAAATTCAGATATCAAATTCAAGTCGTGAGGGAATCTTCTGGAATACTTCTCTTCCTCGGCTGCTGTCCTTTCGTTGGGTACTACTATGTGCCTTGACTTTGGAATGACCTTCATTGTGTTTAGTAGTGGGGCGTAAATTGTCGACAAAATGAAAAAAGAAGATGGTTGATATCCAGTAGAAGGTAGGTAGGCATGGGCCACAAAATGTATGAAGGATTAAAAAGAAACCAGTCGACCAGCAACTGCTACTAAAAAGAGATTTTAAAAAAAGCATACTCAGCTAAGGCATAGTTCTCTGACAGTAGATTTTGACAAGAAGATAGGCTGTTTTGATTTTGTTGAGACGGGATAAGAAAGGGAAAGAAGAAAACAACATTGACCTGAAAGCGTGCAATAGATTTAGAAATACAATGTGCATCGAAGAGTAAATTAAAAGAAACGAAAACGACAACGATTTATTGTGTTTATTTTAAGCCAGTTTTAAGGCAACTATAAAAGAGTACTCGAACTGTTAGCACAAGTTGTATTCTTTTCTGCTGAGGTCGTAAAAGGTTTTGTAGCAAAATTGTCGTCCCTTGATTTTCTGTGAGCATGTGAGGCTGAAAAGAATAAAAAACAAAATGTACCAACCACGGCTTGACAACGAGTCAACACACTTTAAAGGGATGGATAAGTCTCTCTCTCTCTCTCTCTCTTCCCGTGTCTCCCTCCAACAACATGTATTTTTCCCCCTCTTGTTTATGACAGAAAGTTGAAGGACATTAGACCATTGCTGTAGGAAGCCAGTCCCTGTGATAGTGAAATAACTCATACGAACATATAACAGTAATAAATGATATGCTTCGATCAGTGTTTCTCAACCTTTTCACAATTAGCGCCCACTCTTGTCACTTTTAAGAAGCTAAATGTTCGTACCGGTCATAGGATAGACGTGGTAATTATGGAACATCTTTTGTCTGGTTTGATTGTTTGAGTGGCATTGATAAATGTAGTTTTGAGACAGAACACCGATGAATTAACATTCTTCTTCAAGAGACCCTTTAAAATTTCCCAAAAAGACCGAGGTTCTGTAATGCCCCAAGGAATTCAAACAAGGATAGAACGCCACGTAACCACAATATGATATCAATTTAGGACAGTGCTTGTCAACCTGGACGATGTCATCCTCTGTTAATTAAGTAATTTGGCAATTTTAGTGGGCGGTGGGGGACACTGGTGTTAGTTTACGCCCCGCATGGAAATACAATGTACATGTAGATGAGAATGGGTCGTACGAAAAGGTTGATAATCACTGGTTTAGGATAACTATATAGAAGTGCCTTTTTGATAGCCAGCACGCCAATCGACCTTTTGAGGGCGCTGCCTGGGGATCTGGAAAGACTGCTGTTTATTTAGACAGCGCCATTCCACAAGTGCAGTAAGTCATTCATTTTTGGGAAGTTTGGAGAAAAATCCACACAAAAAAAACCCAGAGAGAAAGAAAAAGAACGCCCTTATCAGAACCATGATGACTAGAGCACTTGTTATTTTTCCATTAAAGGCTAGGAAGGAAATAACGAAACAGCGAAAACGTTATTAGTGTAAGATGTCTCTTGATATTATTTCTATCCGAATAACGACTTTTACCTAGAAACCCACACAAACTGATTTGGGCGATTATGGGATGAGGCTGACGAATATTTATTAACCAAATATTGCTGTGCAGAATGCAAACTTTACGTTTTACTCAGCTTTTCCCAAATTGTAGCTGAGGGCCGAGTGATTGTGGATTGTTCAAAACGAACTCACAGAACACCTAGCGTCATATTATAAGGCCGGTTTATAATAATAATAATAATAA